GGGCTAGTTTACGCATTTGCTCCTATGGGGCACTGCGACCACCCTTAAAGATCAGGGCACAAAACTTACTTTCATATAAATCATTGCGTCAGTTCCAAATCCGTCACAAGACATAAGTGAGAGGTCACCATGGAAATAACGGGCATATAGTCGAGATATTGGTAGCCCATATCCATAACCTTTAAAGGAAATATTAGCAATTAGACAAATCTTAAAGCTGACAATGGATATTCACTTGTCCTGTATTGTAATCCACATACCTGCTAGAGGTACAGTGTGTGAGTCAGACTTCGGTGGCTGAGGAGCAGTTGAGTACATGTAGTGGAACAACATGTCGGTTGAGCTGCGAGGAATACCACCTCCCCTGTCGGACATCTACAAAATTGGCAAAAGCACAAATCAGACAGTGTCAACAAAATAATAAATCAAAGAAACACAAGCATCAATACAAGAACTGACCTTAACACATATGTCCTCCTTTCCACGGCACACTACAACTTCAATGGGGGGAAGTCCCTCTTCTGCATCCCCATGGTGTTCCATCACGGCTCTCATGGCATTCTTGAACAGCTCGAATAGCATATGGTACAAGTGGGAAGGCACATACACAATACGGATTGGAGCACCATGCTCCACATCTGTTGGAGAAAAAAAAAAGCAGAAATGATTATTAATTAAAAATTGAAATTCCTTTAAGAATTAGGGGCGAAATGTCATGGTACAGCAGTATGCAATAGGAATTGGGAAATCAGTCCTGCGCTGCACACTTACCATTGATCTCCTTCAGTCTAAGGTCAGGAGAGGCAAGATAATACTGGTCACAGATGAACCGCGCGTTCTCGTAGGCGTCTTTTACTACACCCACCAAGTCACACTGAGGGTCAATGCATCCTATATGACCCGTCGGGTTCTCTGACCCTTTCACATCGGATCCAAACAAAAGTGCTGCGTTAACAAGAAATGTAGAGCATTAGTGCGAACTATTTAAAAAAAAAAATACTGTGTGTACTGTGTGTGTTTGGAGTCGTTGTGAACTTACTGTGTTGGTTGATCAGCATACGAATCGAGATGCGCGACATGTAAAATCTGTCAAGAAAGTATTGTATGCTGTTGTCGGTCTGCTGGTCCACAGGGTGGGACTCCTTGAGCTCCATGACGCCCTGAGCCATCGTCTGAACCACATCGGAGTGACGATTGCGTACCCGGACCAGAGTCTCACAAAACCTGGAGGATGATATTAAAAAAACAATTAGGATGTGCTAATACAGCAAAGAAAGGAAGAAAAACTGGCAGAACCCATGACAACCTATCAGGGGCAGGGGTGAGAGGCAGGCCTCCGAAACATGTTGTCACGTCACTCAACTCCTTCACTTCGATGAGTCATGTATAGGGATGGTCTTGAGGGTGGGGGCCTCCCGACACATACAGCCCCCTGCGGGCCCCGCCGCCAGCCCGCTCCAATGCCAGGGGCGCCGGCCGGGTTCCACCGGCCCCCGTGGGATGGGGGTGGTACTGTGTGCGCAGTGGCACTGACGTCAAGCCAA